GGGGCCCCCCAGGGGGGCCCCCCGGGGGCCCCCCGGGGGCCCCCCCTGGGGGCCCCCCACCCGCTGTGCTATATAAGAGGGTAGCAGATGACTCCGAATACTCCCCCACTGCCTAAACCCTAAACCCTAAACCCTAAACCCTTTGATGTTAGCACACAGCGAGTAACACGGTTGAGGAGCAACAGCACCTGTGGCTGTCCTGCTGCTGCAACAGCAGCAGCAGCTGCTGCTGCTGCGGCAGCAACAGCAGCAGCTGCTGCCGCAGCAACAGCAGCAGCTGCCGCTGCTGTTGCAGCAGCTGCAGCAAAAACAATTCGGCAAAGCTTTTAAGCCATAGAAGAGACACAAAAGAGACACGGGAAATTTAGCTGCTGCCAGCACTTGCTGCTGCGGCCGCTCTTTCAGAGTTAAGGTCCCTGCAGCAGCAAACCCAGCAGCAGCAGCAGCAGCAGCAGCAGCAGCAGCAGCAGCAGCAAGAGAAAGGGATGGAAGCTGCAAGAGGCAGAGGAGACACTAAGGGAGACAGGCACTTGGACAGCAAATAGCAGCGCCAGATGGAACAGGTGCACAGCAGCAGCAGCAGCAGCAGCAGCAGCAGCAGCAGCAACGGTAGCAACAGTAGCAGCAGCAGCAGCAGCAGTAGTGCTAACAGCAGCAACCGCAGCAGGAGAGGCACAAGTGTCCGCCACTATTAAATATCTCTTTGGGTTTTGGGCCCTCATAAACATAAAAACTCGGTTGCTGCTGCTGTTGCTGCTGCTGTTGCTGCTGCTGGGTTGATGTGCTGCTGCTGCTAGCGACCTGTGGGCAGCAGCAGCAGCAGCAGCAGCTTCAAAAGTACGCACTGAAGGCGTGAAACAAATACTGCTAAACACGCTGACGCATGTGCTGCTGCTGCTGCTTCTGCTGCTGCTGCTGCTGCTGCTGCTGGGCGCCGTGAGCTGCCCATCCAGATTGCTGCCTTCTGGGCAGTGCAGCAGCAGCAGCAGCAGCAGCAACAGCAGCAGCGGCCAAGACTCAGCGTTGCTGCTTCATCACTACGAGCTCCAACCCAAAGTAGAGGATCAATACAGAAGCAATCAAAACGACTGCAGCAAAGCAGCAGCAGCAGCAGCAGCAGCAGCAGCAACGCACAAAGCTGCTAGGTCTTATTCATCTTGCTGCAGCTGCACCAGGGGCAGCTGCAGCAGCAGCAGCAGCAGCAGCAACACCGGCGGCTGCAGCAACGTTTTTAGCAGGAGCAAGAAATGCAGCTCCAATTAGAGCAGTAGCAGCAGCAGCAGCGGACGCAGCGACTGCAGCAGCAGCAGCAGCAGCAGTGAATGTGTCAGTATTGGTAGTAGCAGTAACTGCAGCACTAATAGCAGCAGCAAAAGCAGCAGCAACCTAACTGCAGCAGCAACAGCGGCAACAGTGACTGGCAGCAGCAACGGCAGCAGCAGTCACTGCGGCAGCACCGCCAGCAGCAGCAGCAGCAGCAGCAGCAGCAGCAGCAGCTTACTGCAGGCAGCGATTCGATACTGGCGTGTCCTCCTTTCTGCAGCACTCCTTAGCTGTTCAGCCTCTAACTCCTCTGAGCAGCAGCAGCAGCAGTTGGAGCAGCAGCAGCAGCAGTTGGAGCAGCAGCAGCAGCAGCAGCAAAAGCGCATTGCCCGGCAGCAGGAGCACAGCCACAAGACGAGCACCGCAAGCAGGAGAAGCAGCAGCAGCAGCAAAGGGGCAGCTCGCAGCTCCTGACTAAGATAAAACTAAACGCAGCAGCAGCAGCAGCAAGACTGCAGCAGCAGCAAGACTGCAGCAGCAGCAGCAGCAACAGCAGCAGCACATACGTTGTCTCAGTGCCTCTCTGTGATGTCTCTCCACCGCCTAAAGCCTCACAAAGCCAACAGAAGGTTGCGCGTATGCATGCTGCGTCGCTGCGGTTGCTGCTGCTGTCGCTGCTGCTGTTGCTGCTGCTGCTGCTGCTGCTGCTGCTGCATGCAGTTGGGGTGGCTAAACGCATTTAGTACCTCTTTGAATGCGACGCGTTCTGTGGCACTCAGCCCCATCTTGCGCAGAGTTGCTTCCTGAAGCAGCAGCAGCAGCAGCAGCAGCAGCGGCAGCAGCAGCAGCAGCAGCAGCAGTGTCCACAAGAGAAGAGCAGCAAAGCACCCGCTGCAGTAGCAGCAGCACCATCTGCAGCAGCAACAGCAACAATTCCAGAAGCGGTACCACCACCGCCACTTGCAGCCGCAGCAAAAACAGCACCGCCTGCAGCAGCAGCAGCAGCAGCAGCAGCAGCAGCAGCAGCAGCAGCAGCAGCAGCAGATTACATCAAGTGTTAGAAAAGCCTCATCGACGTAAATGAATCTTTTCCTATAGAACATTTCCTGGATTGCTTCCGACAAACCAGCAGCAGCACAGAAGGCCGTCACTTCAGTCTGCTGCATTGCTGCTGCTGCTTGCTGCCGTTTACGCTCTCCCTTCTCCTGCAGCAGCAGCAGCAGCAGCAGCAGCAGCAGCAGCAAAGTTAATCCAGGATGCATGCGCCGAGTAAGGGCTGCAGGCAGCAACTGTGTCGCTTCTGCTGCTGCCGCGCAGCTGCAGTTGCCGCCGGCGGCGCAGCGCAGCAGGACTTGCTGCTGCTGCGTTGTGTGCTGCCGCTGCTAGCTTGCTGCTGCTGCTGCTGCTGCTGCTGCTGCTGCTGCTGCTTCGGGGAAGCACCTGGAGAGCAGCACGCCTCTTCTCTTCCTCCTCCTACGAAGCGCACACAGAGATGACAGCAGCAGCAGCAGCAATAGTATCTGCTGCAGCAAAGCGAGGACGGCAGCAGCAGCACTCAGGCAGCAACAGCAATCTTAGCAGCAAGGACAGCAGCAGATGCAACAGCAGCAGCAGCAGCAGCAGCAGCAAGAAGCTCCATAAGCTCACTTCTTGCTGACGCTTCCGCATTTCGATAATTGCCGCAGGGGTCACACCTGAACACAGGAGAATGCTGCTGCTGCTCTTGCTGCGTTTGCTGCTGCTGCGCTGCTGCTGCTGCTGCGCTTTCTGCTGCTGCTTATCTGCTGCTGCATACCTGCCAAATTAGGCGTCTCCATAGAGAAGCCTTTCTCTTCAAGTGCCTTCATAATGCTGCTCAAGCCCTGCAGCAGCAGCAGCAGCAGCAGCAGCAGCAGCAGCAGCAGAAATCGCAAATCCAGAGTGCACAGCAGCAAGGGGGGCGGCAGCAAGGGCCAGAAGAAACGTCGGAGCAGCCGCAGCTGCTGCAGTCCAAGAAAGCAGCAGCAGCAGCGATACGAAGAGCAGCAGCAGCAGCAGCAGCAGCAACGATACGAAGAGCAGCAGCAGCAGCAGCAGCAGCCACCTCCTCTGCAGCAAGTAACAGCCGCACCAGCTACACCAACACCCGCGAGAGCAGCAGCAGCAGCAGCAGGGGCAGCAAGAGCAGCAGCAGCAGCAGCAGCAGCAGCAGCAGCAGCAGCAGCAGCCGACCTCCTCAGCAGCAACATGCATCGGCGTGTTGCCCTCGTGGTCTGCGCAGGCTTCGATGTCCAGCTTTGTGCTTTTCAGGATTTCCAGAGAAGCAGCAAGCAGCCGGTTGGCCAGTGCGAGGTGACTGCAGCAGCAAACACACGCTGCTGCTGCTGCTGCTGCTGCTGCTGCTGCTGCTGCTGCTGCCTCGGCTGCCGTCTGTCGCGGTGCCAGTGCAAGCTCACACAACTAGTCTCCTGCCATCGCTGCTGCTGCTGCTGCCACAGCTACTTTCAGTGCTACTTGTGCTGCTGCAGCATCAACAGCAGCAGCAGCGAAAGCCGCCGCTGCTGCTGCTGCTGCTGCTGCTGCTGCTGCTGCTGCTGTGGGACTGACAGGGGTGTGCAGCCCTGCGCGTCTTTGGCGTTGGGCGAGGCCCCCCGCTGCAGCAGCAGCAGCGCAGCTTCTTCATTTCCCTCTTTGAGAGCCAAGTGGAACGCAGTGTCTGCGCAAAAGCAGCAGCAGCAGCAGCAGCAGCAGCAGCAGCAGCAACTGATCAGCTGCAGTTACGCCGCGACGGCCCCCGGCGGCAACAAGAGCAGCGAGGAGAGAGAGCAGACTGCAATGGCGGAAAACTTGTGGCTGTGCAGCAGCAGCAGCAGCGGCAGCAGCAGCAGCAGCAGCGGCAGCAGCAGCAGCAGCAGCAGCGGCAGCAGTAACGCACCGCCGGCAGCATTTGTTGCTTCGCGAGGAGCGCCTCTATTGAGCAGCAAAGCCACAACCTCTGTCTGGCCAAGCGCTGCAGCAGCAGCAGCAGCAACAGCAGCACAAGGTGCACCAGCAGCAGCCTCGAATGGAAGTTACCAGCAGCAACTGCAGCAGCAGCAACTGCAGCAGCAGTAGCAACTGCAGCAGCAACAGCAGCAGTGAAGCCGGGAGCCAAAGCAAGCTCACTGGCAGCCCAGTGCAGCGCCTGCAGCAGCAAACAGACGCAGCGAAGCAGCAGCTGACAGCAGGCTAAAGAGCAGCAGCAGCAGCAGCAGCAGCAGCAGCAGCAGCAGCAGCAGCAGCAGACAAAACAGCAGCTGCTGCAGCAGACGCACATTATTTTTCTCTTTGTCTGCTGCTGCGATGTCGCAGCCCTTGACACACAAAACTGAAAAGGAAGCCGCAGCAGCACAAACACGATCCGGCTGCAGCAGCAGCAGCGGCAACAGCAGCAGCAGCAGCGGCAACAGCAGCAGCAGCAGCAGCAGCAGCACCAGCAGCAGCTGGAGCAGTGGCAGCTGCGCCAACAATAGTAGAAGCTGCAGTAACAGCAACAACAGCAGAAGCAGCTGCAGCAGTGGCGGCCGTAGAAGCAGCAGCAATGGCAGCTGCAGCAGCAGCAACTTCAGTAGAAGGTGCAGCAGCAGCAGTAGCAGCAGCTGCTGCAGCAGGTGCTGCTGCTGCTGTTGCTTCAAGAGTGGCTACAGCTGCACTGCTGCTGCTGCCAGCTGCTGCTTCTGCGGGAGCCCTTTAGCTGGCAGCACAAACAAGGCTGCAGCAGCTGCTGCTGCAGCTGCTGCTTCCGTCGTAGCTACAGCAGCGAAAGAGCAGCAGCAGGACCAACAGCAGCTGCTGCTGCAGCAGCAGCTGCAGCAGCAGCTGTAGCAGCAGCTGCAGCAGCAACAAACCTTGTCTAACGATTGCAGGGTCTCCTCGGCAGCCCGCGACCGCATGCAGCAGAGCAGTAAACCCGCTGTCTCTCTGCAGCACATGAGCAGCAGCAGCAGCAGCAACTGCTGCTGCAGCTCTAGCACAGCAGCAGCAGCAGCAGCAGGGTCAGCAGCAGCAACACCAGGGCCAGCAGCAGCAGATCCTAAGGCCTGCGCTTTCCCTTCCCGCCCCCCAGCCCTCTGCTGCAGCGCACACCAGGCTTAAACAGAAGCAGCAGCAGCAAAGGCAGCAGCAGCGAGGTAGCAGCAGCAGCAGCTGCTGCTGCAGCAGCAGCAGCTGCTGCTGCTGCTGCAGCAGCAGCAACTCACATCTGGCGCATTGATAAAAACAGCAGGGGACTCCAGCACCACTGCCAAAACGTCTGAGTCACCTTCTCGAGCAGCAATGTGCAGCGCAGACACTGCAGAGCAACAGCAGCAGCAGCAGCAGCAGCAGCAGAAGCAGCAGCAGCAGCAGCAGCAGCAGCAAGGGGAATTAGGGCAAAGATGACGCATTCTCTGCTGCGGTTGATGGCGTGTTCCTGTCTCCCGAGGCTCTCTCCCCAGCTCCTTACTGCTGCTGCTGCTGCTGCTGCTGACCCCTGCTGTCTCTATTGCTGCTGCTGCTGCTGCTGCTGCTGCAGCTGCTGCTGCTGCTGCTCTGTCTCACTGCCCTTCTTGTTGAGCGCTGAGGGATCCGCCCCCTCCTCCAGCAGTCTCTTGACTGCACCCGCATCTCCCCGCAGCACGGCTTTTGCCAGTGCCTCTGTCATCTTAGGGTTTAGGGTTTAGGGTTTAGGGTTTAGGGTTTAGGGTTTAGGGTTTAGGCACTGGGAGCTAGTGAGGAGACAGAGACATTTGTCGGCGAAACGCCGAATGCCCTGTCTACACTGAAGAAGCAACCGCAAAAAAATTAGGGGTTAGGGTTTACGGTTTGTGGTTTAGGGTATAGGGTTTATAGTCTAGGGTTTAGGGTTTAGGCATTAGGGTTTAGGGTTTAGCGTCCAGGGGCCCCACCCCCGACAAGGGGCTGGGCTGGTCTTTTGCTGGGCAGATAAACTCTAAACCCTCATTCATTAGTGTTTTGTTTCAACATGAGCTTTACTTTCTTCACAGATTCCAAAACTCTACACCCTAAACCCTAAACCCTAAACCCTAAACCCTAAAACAGGGTTTTGAGCAGCGGCTGCTCGCAAGCGTGGCTGAGGGCTGCTGCACTGGCCTTCTTCGCCCACCCAATAAATTAAACAAAATAAATAAATGGAAAAAAAATTAATTTAAATGATAAAAACAATAAATGAAAAATAAATTATTTCGAGGGTTTGCGAGGGTTTAGGGTTACGAAGTCGAGGCGAGGGTTTAGCTACTACTGAATGAGTCGGCGGTTTAGGGTTTAGGACAGCGAGGCTAGGGTTTAGAATGAATGAAGGGTTTAGGGTTTAGGGTTTAGGGTTCAGGAGTGGCTACTGATACTGCCGCAGCAACATGGCCTGCAGCAGCGAGTGCAGCAGCAGCAGCAGCGCAGACAACAGCAGCAGGAGCAGCAGCAGCACAGGCAACAGCAACAGCAGCAGCAGCACAGACAGCAGCAGCAGCAGATTGTCTTGCTGCTGCTCCAGCATAAGACCAGCAGCAGCAGCGAGCTGGAGCTGCGGCAGCTTCTAGTCCAGATGCTGCAGCAATGCCTTCTCAAACCCTAAACCCTAAACTAGGGTTTCATATCGCAGCTGGCCTGCAGCTGCAGCGGCTGCCGTTGTGTGCAGAGTCGCAGCCCTTTCTATCATAATCGGCAGCAGCAACAGCAGCAGCAACAGCAGCAGCAGCAGCAACAGCAGCAACACCAGCAGCAACAGCAGCAGCAGCAGCAGCTGTTGCTGCAGCAAGGAAATCAGCGCGAACATCAAATAAAATGTATTTATTCAAACTTGGCCGAATTGAATTATTTGCAAAAATGCAAAAAGTCCTTTAATGCATTAAAAAGGAATTTTTGAATTTCAAAAAAGTATTTCTTTTCAAAACATTTCTTTGCATGCTTTGCAGCAAAAAAGCAAAAAAACATTTTTAAAATGCCACTAAAAGTCTCTTTTATATTTTCTATTTTTCTTTATTTGCAATTTTTTAAAATTGCAAAATTTTTTATTTAATTTTTTTCCGTTTTTATTTTTTGCATGCACCAGTGTGCAGCTTTCCCAGGTGTACGTACACCAGAGCAGCAAGCAGGTGTACGTACACCTGACCAGCAAACACCTGCAGCGAAGAATTGAATTGAATTAAATTAAATTAAATTAAATTAAATTGAATTGAAAAAAATTAAATTAAAAGTAAAAAGTTTTTTCTTGCAAAACGAAATACAATGCATGCAAAAAGGAAAAAGGTACTTATTTGATTAAATGCATTTTATTTATTTTTATTTATTTTTAAATTGAGTTTGTGGAAGTGCTGATAAAGAAATTAAGTTTTTGAGAATTTGTTTGGTCTGAAGACACAACTTCAAAGACAATATGCATGCACACTGGCGACTTGCTGCTGGCCCTCTCGGCCACAACAGCAGCAGCAGCAGCAGCAGCAGCAAAGAAGCCCCACAGAAGAGGGGACAAAAGAAGCAGCAGCAGCAGCAGCAGCAGCAGCAGCGGCAGCAGCAGCGGCATTTGCGCGTCATTTCTGCTTGCTGCTGCTGCATGCTGCTCCCACGCAGAGCGCCGCTGGAGACACAGACAAAGAGAGCAGCAGCAGCAGCAGCAGCAGCGGAGGTAGCAGCAGCAGCAAATGGGCTTTATTGCTGCTTGCTGCTGCTGCGTGCTGCACTCAGGCTGGGGGCTGCAGCAGCTGCGGAGACACCTGAGGAGCCCAAGACTTCTGCTGCTAGCTCTTCAGCTTCTTGAAGCAAACTGCCTGCAGCAGCAGCAAATTGGATGGAGCAGCAGCAGCAGCAGCAGCAGCAGCGACAGCAGCTACTATAGTAGAGGCAGCAACAACAGCATCCGCGACAGCAGCAGCAACGGCGGCAGCAGCAGTAGTAGCAGCGGCAACAGCAGCAGCAGCAGCAGCGGCAGCAGCAACAGCAGCAAAACCAGCAGCAGCAGCAGCAGCAGCAGCAGCACGGAGGGCGCGCGAAGTGCGCAGCAGCGAGCCAGGCCTGTGGGGTGTACGTACACCCCACCTAAGTGTCTCTTCAGGGCCTCTTGCCAAACACTGACATCTTGGGGATTTAATTTAAGACTTTCGAAAAGTTGCGAAAACAGCAGCGGCTGCTCTTCCAGGGGCCTGGGATCGTCTCCGGGATCGTCTCCGGGATCGTCTGTGGGGTCGTCTCCAGACTCCTCCCCGTCTCCCTCGTACGCCGTCTCCACTGCGCGGAAGGGGGCCTCGCGCTGCAGCAGCAGCCCGCGCTGCAGCCGCTGCTGCTGCTGCTGCTGCTGCTGCTGCTGTCTTCCGTAAACGTCCAGGGCCCCTCCTTCTGCCTTCCCCCCGAACTCAGCCAAAATCAAGAACAGCTCCGTGAGGGCCCCGGGGGCCCCCCCGGGGGCCCCCCCGGGGGCCCCTGGGGGGCCCCCCTGTGCCCCGCTTCCCCTGAAGGGCCCCCTGTTCGCCTCCCTGGGGCCCCCCTTGGGGCCCCTGCCCAGGGGGGCCCCTGCGGGGCCCCCCCCGGGGGTCCCCCCGAGGGCCCCCCTTGTGGCCCCCCCCGGGGCCACCCCGGGATCGCCCCCCACAGGGGGCCCCCCGCCCCCCAGGGGGCCCCCCAGGGGCCCCCCAAGGGGGCCCCCTGGGGGCCCCCCGGGGGCCCCCGCCAGCCTGGAGGCCATGAGCTCTGCGAGGAGGGGCCCCAAGGCATACAAATAAACGCTGAAGGGCTCTGCATGGAAATGCTGCACGAGGGCCCACGTGCGGCCAATGGGCCCATAAGAGTCAAAGACTGTTCCCGGGGGCCCAAACATTTCCCTGAAACTCAGCAGCAAACAAATTCATACCCATTAGTTCTCTTCCAGCCCGCAAGGGGCCCCCGGGGGGCCCCGAGGGGGCCCCCCAGGCCCCGGGGGGCCCCCGGCGGGCCCCGAGGGGGCCCCCCAGGCCCCTGGGGGCCCCCGGGGGCCCCCAGGGGGCCCCTGGGGGCCCCCAGGGGGCCCCTGGGGGCCCCCAGGGGGCCCCTGGGGGCCCCCCTTTGCTTTTGGGTGTTTCGTTGTTCTTTTGGGGGCCGGACAGGTCTGTAATGGCTTTTGAAGCCTCCACGCCGCATTTGTGCAATAGCTAGCTAGCTGGCTACCTAGCTAGCAGCAGCAGCAGCTCTTTAGCTAGCTAGCTGGCTAGCTGTCGAACTTAACTACTTATTCTAGCTAGCTAGCTAGCTAATTAGGCGGCTAGCTAGATGGGAGGCTTCCTGGCAACTCAGCTAGCTAAAGAGCTGCTGATGTGCTTCTGCTGCGCTGCTGCTGCTCCTCTTGTGCTGCTGCTGTGTCCTGGGTCCCCACACACTCTAGCGACACTACCTACGCAGCAGCAGCAGCAGCAGCAGCAGCAGCAGCAGCAACAGCAGCAGCAGCAGCAGCTCCTCACTGCGTCGCCTGTAGCCAGAGCTGCTCAATTTGATCGGGAAACAGCAAACCTTCTTGCCGCGCCTCATGAACAAGCTCCTGCAAAGAACAGCTACAGAAAAAGGGTTTAGGGTTTAGGGTTTAGGGTTTAGGGTTTGGGGTTTAGGGTTTAGGGCATGCAATTTTCTGTGCCTTCTCTCGTGCAGCTGCGTGGTCTCTCCTGGTCCCGGCTTCTGCTCGCAACCCAAGGCCTAGGGTCTGCAACCAAGGGTTAAGGGTTTAGGGTTTAGGGTTTAGGGTTTAGGGTTTAGGGTTTAGGGTTTGGAGTTGCCTCGAATCTGTCGTATGAGATTTGGCGGATGATGGAGTTGACGGCGTTGTCCAGCTCGTCCATTACCTGCGGGAAAAAATTATTTTTGAAAAAATAAAATAAAAAAATAAAAAAGAAAAGAGAAATAAAAGAAATGAAAGAAATGAAAGAAATGAAAGAAATAAAAGAAATAAAAAACAAGAATTAAAGATATGAGAATCCAAAAAAAAATTCAGAAAAAGACCTGAAGGCACAAAAAGATTAGAAAATGATGCAAATAAGAAACAAAAAGGGGACAAAAAAGACAGAAAAAAAAGAGACAAAAAGGAGAAAAAAGGAGACAAAAAAGAGACAAAAAGGAAGCAAAAAGGGGACAAATGAGAAGACAAAAAAGAGAAAAAAGGAGACAAAAAATTCGACAAAAACAAAACCAAAAAGAAACAAAAAGGAGACGAAAAAGTGACCGAAGTTGGCACAGAGAAGGTGCACAGGTCTTCAAAAACAGAAAAAAGAATAAAATAAAATGTAAAAAAAAGCAGAAAAACGCCGTCAAAAGAAGGACCAAAAGAACCCAGAAAAGGATTCAAAAGAAATACAAAAATAGTTTAAAAGTGTTTTGAAAAACACCAAAAAGAGTTCAGAAAAACGTCCAAAAAGAGTGCGAAAAGAGCGGAATAGAGGCCCAAAAAGCCCGGAAAAGCTGTCCAAAACTCATCAAAAAGCAGAAAAAAAGCAGAAAAAGAGGGTTTAAAAAGAAACACTAAAAGAGGGTTTACAAGGCTTCAAAAGGGTTTGAAAAGACAGAAAAAAAGAAGGGTTTGGACCTGCGAAAGGCGCTGGGGGGCCCCCGGGGCCCCCGCCCGCAAAGCCAAGTTCACCAAATGCTCCCCCAAGTGGCTCGCCGCTGCGCCCAGGGCCCTCGGGGGGGCCCACGCGAGGGGCCCCAAGGGTTTGCGCAGGGCCAGCAAACACGCGTAGGCTGCACACAAACCCTAAACCCTAAACCCTAAACCCTAAACCCTAAACCCTAAACCCTAGGCCCTAAAACCTAGGCCCTGGACAGCGGGCGCAGTGCGGGAAGGAGGCTTCCGCCCACGCGAGGGGCCCCAGGGGTTTGCGCAGGGCCAGCAAGCACGCGTAGGCTGCGCACAAACCCTAAACCCTAAACCCTAAACCCTAAACCCTAAACCCTAAACCCTAAAGCCTGAGCTCGAGAGCTCAATTTCGGGAATGAGGGTACGGGAGAGCATAGGCTGGCATAGAGTGAAAGTCGTCGCATAGCCAGGCTGTGGAAGCGAAACCCTAAACCCTAAACCCTAATTCCTGAACCCGAATGCCTAGGCGCTAAACCCTAAACCCTAAACCCTAAATCTTAAGCCCTAGACGACAACCCCCAAAGTCTAAACCTCAAATCCCAAGGCCTAAGCCATAAGCCCCAAAGCCTAAACCCTAAACTCCAGAGCCTAAACCCTAAACCCTAAACCCTAAATAGTGGAATTTCGAATGGCTGCCATCATCTCGCAATGCTGTGAAATGGGAAGTGAGGGGCAAAGAGTGAAAGGAAATAAAAAAATAAAAAAAAGAAATGAAAAAAAATAAATAAAATTAAAAAAAGAAAAACAGAGAAAGAAACAAAAGAGACAAAACAACGGAGACAATAAAAGCGGAAGGAAAAAAGAAAAAAAAGAAAAAGAAAAAAAAGAGAAAAAGGAAAGGAAACAAAAGAGACAAAAAGAATGAAAAAAAGATAAAACAAAAAAGAACAAGAAGACAAAGAAGAAGACCAAAAAAACTAAAAAGAGACAAAAGGAGATAAATAGAAAAGGAGACAAGAAGAGACAAAAAAGAAAAAGAGAGACAAAAAAAGATAAAAAGAAAAGGAGAAAAAAGAAGACAAAAAGAGACACAAAGAGGCAACTTAAAAAGGAGACAAAAGGGGACAAAAAAGAAGAAAAAGAGACAAAAAAGTGGAAAATAAATTCAAAAATATTTTTTTTCGGACTTGTTTCTCTGGCGAGGGCGCGGACATCTGCAGGAGATCCTTGAAAAGACAAAAAGACAAAAGGGCCTTTAAAGGGACTGGAGGGTCTTGTGAAGTTGCCGGGTCTTTTGTGGGGTTTGGCTGCTGCGTCGATTTGCTGCTGCTGCAGCAGCAGCAGCAGCTGCTGCTCGCACGGCGGCAGCGCAGCAGCAAACGCCTGCTGCACCAGAGACACTGCAGCAGACCAGCTGAAAAGGGGACTTTTCCAATTCCCCCGAACTGGAGACAAACGGTCCGAAAAACTAAAGGACTGCAGCAGCAGCAGCAGCAGCAGCAGCAGCAGCAGCAGCAAACAGACACAACGCTAATCTGCAACGGGAGGTGAAATGCTGCAGCATCAGCAGCAGCAGCAAACAGACACAAGGCCGCTGCAGCAGCAACAGCAGCTGCAGCAACAGCAATAACAACAACGACGACAACAACAGCAGCAATACCAGCAGCTGCAGCAGCAGCACCAGAGCAGCAGCAAAGCAGCACCAAAGCAGCAGCAAAGCAGCAACAAAGTATCATCGCCATCATCATCATCACCAACATCACCATCATCACTATCAGCAGCAGCAGCAGCAGCAGCAACAGCAGCAGCAGCAGCAGCAACAGCAGCAGCAGCAGCAGCAACAACAGCAGCAGCAGCAGCAGCAGCAGTACTGGGATATGAGCGAGTTGCTGCAGCAGTTGCTTCTTGAGTGCGTAGAAGCGGCGGGCGAGTGAAGGGCCTTCGAGGCGAACAGCAGCAACAAGAGCAGCAGCAGCAGCATCGGGAACCCCCAGCAGCAAATTGCGCTTCGATCGCAGGAACTGCAGCCACAAACGCGAGGGTTTACGAGAGTTTGCGAGGGTTTACGAGGGTTTATGAGGGTTTGCGAGGGTTTACGAGGGTTTAAGAGGGTTTACGAGAGTTTGCGAGGGTTTACGAGGGTTTAAGAGGGTTTGCGAGGGTTTACGAGGGTTTAAGAGGGTTTGCGAGGGTTTACGAGGGTTTTTGAGGGTTTGCGAGGGTTTGCGAGGGTTTACGAGGGTTTACGAGGGTTTACGAGGGTTTGAAGATAACAAAGACAAAAGGGAGAAAGAAAGAGAGAAAAGAGGAAACAAAAAAAAGAAAAAGAGAAAGAAGGAGAAAAAAGGAAAAAAAGAAAGAGAAAAGAAGAAAGAAAATAAAAAGAAATAAAAAGAAGAAAAGGAGAATAAAAAAAGAAAACAAAAAAAAAGACAAAAAAGAAAACAAAAGGGGAGAGAGAAAGAAAAGATAGCGCGTTGGCGCTTTGAAAGTGGCTGCGCATGCTTTCAAGGGTTTAGGGTTTAGGGTTTAGGGTTTAGGGTTTAGGGTTTAGGCTTACTGGGTACTTGCGCTGCTTGTTGTCTATGGCCCAGGCCCCAGCAACAGCATTAAAAGAAACAGCAGCGAGCACGTCTAGCCGCTGCTCTCTAATGGCTCTGCATCCCAAACCCTAAACCCTAAACCCTAAACCCTAAACCCTAAACCCTAGACCCAAAACCCTAAACCCTCGAAGCAGAGCAGATCGCAGAGAAGACCCGGAGCCCCCGCAGCTCCAGGCGAAGAGCCATGGCGGAGTCTACACTTCGCCAAATTTGTCAGCGACATCAGGGTTTAGGGTTTAGGGTTTAGGGTTTAGGGTTTAGGGTTTAGGGTTTACTTGTCAATGACTTCCAACGCTCGCTTTCGCACGGCCTGGCTGGGGTGCTGCATGGCTTGCTGCGCTGCAGCAAGGGAGATAGTGCTGCTGCTGCTGCTGCTGCTGCTGCTGTGTTTGCTTTTCGCGGCTTTCTTTTTTGTGTCTGCTGCTGCAGCAGCAGCGTCTGCCTTGCTGCAGTCCCCGGCGCTGCTGCTGCTGCTCTCCCCCCCCGCTGCCGCCGCTGCTGCTGCTGCTGCTGCTGCTGCTGCTGCTGCTGCTGCGGGCTCGAAAGGAGACTCGACGCGGGCCAAAGCCAGCTGTCTCCTTAGAGCAGCAAGAGCAGCAAGAGATCCTTCGAAGGGTTTGCGTTCTTCCAAAACTGCTTCTGCTTCCCAAGGCAGCAAATGTTTTTGCTGCTGAAATAAAAGTGCCAAATAACTTTTGCGGCTTTTCAAAAACCCCGAGCGCTTCAGGTGTACAGACACCCAGTCCGCGGGAATCCCGCGAGCCTCCAGCTCGAAAAACAGCAAGTGCGGAGTCACCCTGCCGCCGCAAACCACCAACTAGGGTTTAGGGTTTAGGGTTTAGGGTTTAGGGTTTGGGGTGCAGTCCGCTGGACAGGCGAGAGGAGGACACGCGAGGGCGAGAGGCCCTTCGCCTGCGCTGCAGGGCTGCGTCAAACAGCAGCTGCTGCTGCAACTCTAGGGTTTAGGGTTTAGGGTTTAGGGTTTAGGGTTTAGGGTTTCGGACTCGGTGAGGACGAAGTGTTCGACTTTGGCTTTTTCTCTCTGGAGCTCCTCATTGTCGAGTTGTTTGTCAGCAGCAAGAGCAGCAAACGAAAGAGCAGCAGCAGCATCGCTGTGGATCTTTTCGAGGGTTTGGAGGGTTTCTTCGAGGTGAGTGCAAACCCTTCCTCTAAACCCTTTCTCAAACCCTCGCGCCCTTTTCCGCAAAACCCTCAACTGACTCCAAAACGAAGCAGCAAAAATGTCTTTGTGTCCAAACCGCTCCCCCAACGCAAACTCCGGCAACGGAGGTTCTAGCGCAAACCACGCAAAATCAGGGTTTAGGGTTTAGGGTTTAGGGTTTAGGGTTTAGGGTTTAGGGTTTGGGTGTTGGTTTCTAGCGTTTAGGGTCGCTTTGTGTCCAAACCGCTCCCCCAACGCAAACTCCGGCAACGGAGGTTCTAGCGCAAACCACGCAAAATCAGGGTTTAGGGTTTAGGGTTTAGCAGTTCGTTGGTGGAGGGACTGGAACTTAAAGCTCCAAGGGTTTAGGGTTTAGGGTTTAGGAATCAGGTTTTGGCTTCCAGCACATTTTCTTAGGCTCACCTTCGCATGATCCTTGCTGCAGAATCACAAGCAAAAGGAGAAAACCCTAAACCCTAAACCCTAAACCCTAAACCCTAAACCCTAAGCCCTAGCCGCTGACCCCCATACTCTAAACCCTAGTGCCCATACTTTGTCGGAAGGAGCAGTGTTATTGACAGAGGCAGCAGCAGAAACAGTAGCAGCAGAATCAACGGATTTAGTAGCAGCAGCAGCAGCAGTAGTAGCAGCAGCAGCAGCAGCAGCAGCAGCAGGAACCCCACCATCGCACCTGAAGCACCAGTGAAGACAGCAGCAGCAGCAGCAGCAGCAACAGCTGCTGCTGCATCCCACGGCCGGCTCTGCCGAGTCTGTTTAAAAAAGGAGACATTAGGGTTTAGGGTTTAGGGTTTGGTGGGCAGTGTGTAGCCTCTTAACCCCAGCATCGGAGTAGACCGCCAGCGAAGTCCCCCCTAAGGGTCTAGGGTTTAGGGTTTAGGGTTCAGCAGCAAGAGTTGGGGGGTTTTGAAGTCCAGGGAACTCCAGGGTTTAGGAATAAAAAGTAAGATCCACAGTTTGGGGTTTAGGGTTTAGGGTTTTGGGTTGGTGCTAATCCCACAGCAGTCGTCGCTGCCGGAGGTGTGCTGCTGAAGCATTAAACCCGAAACCCTAAACCCTAAACCCTAAATCCTAGAACAAATGAACAGAAGGTTAAACATGTGAAGCGAAGACATCAAAGGAAAGGCCTCACAAACCCTAAACCCCAGCAGCCCATTCAAGCATTTGAGGGTTTAGGGTTTAGGGTTTACGTGGCGCGGCCATTGCGCCTTTTGCGTTTCCCTGCCTCACTTAAGGCATTTGTTTTTATATTTTTGTCAATTTTCATTTTTTAAATAAATAATTTCAAATATTTCAAGATTTCTTTGCGCCCTTTTAGGGTTTAGGGTTTGGGCTCCTGCGACCGCCGCCGAAGGCCGCTCGCCTGCCGCAGCAAGTCACCTCGAGACCCCAAACCCTAAACCCTAAACCCTCCTAGGGTTTAGGGTTTGGCGATCCTGGAGCTGTTCTGCAGCTCGTGTCTTTTGCAGAGTGAAAAGAGCGACTAGGGTTTATCCCCTGTCCGACTCGCAACCCTGGTAGGGTTTGGCGTTTATGCTGCGCTAGGGTTTAGGGTTTGCGCCGTGCGAGGGTTTGGAGCAATCACTACACACTGTTTTGGATATAATATCTAGGGTTTAGGGTTTTAGGGTTTCGGGTGGTTTTAGACCAACAGCAGACAAGAGCTTCAAAACACTTCAACAGCCCCGCCAGCTTGGGGAGTCCTAGGTGTCAAAAGTTTTCTCTAAACCCTAAACCCTAAACCCTAAACCCCAGAAATCAGGGCATGGCATTTATGTTGCCTTTTGCGGTTTCAGTGCTGCAAGGGTTTTGCGTTTGGATTCCCAGAGTTCCGCCGAGCCAGGCGACCCTCAAACCTGCGCCCTGTGAGCCCTAAACCCTAAACCCTAATTTAGGGTTTGCGGTTTGCCTAGCAAATAACTTCTTGCTTCACGTCCAGCTCCTCCTCTATTATCTCCTCCTTATACTCCCACTCAAACCACGTGTCGAATTCCTCCTGGGCTCTGCACCACTCTTCGTACTTGGGCTGCAGCAAACCCAAAACAAACCCCAAACCCTAAACCCTAAACCCTAAACCCTAAACCCTAGAGAAGTGCGGAAAGCCCGACGCGCCACACTCTACGGCCCACGCGCCACTTGCTCTCCTGAGTAGTGGACCCTGAACCCCCCAAGTCATTTGAAACCCAAACCCCAAACCCTAAACCCTAAACCCTAAACCCTAAACCCTCACATGTTTCATCTTCCAGGCCTCAAGCTCATCCAAGATCTGCTGGAACTTTTCACTTTCCTCTTCCCGCTGCTTCAAGAAGGCTCGGCGTTTCTCGCTGCGGAGTCTCTCGTCCTCCGCCTCGTACCTCTTGCTGCACACAAACCCTAAACACTAAACCCTAAACCCTAAGCCCCAAACCCTAAACCCTTAACCCTACACCCTTAACCCTACTCTGCCGAAGCCCCACACGCCCAGCAGCTGCAGCTGGCACGGCGCCAAGCGCCGGCTTGGGCTACGCGTGAGCCCCAGAAGAGAGAGCGAAACCAAACGCTAAACCCTAAACCCTAAACCCTAAACCCTAAACCCTCAGCTTCAAAGCCAAACCTGTGTTCCTTCATCCGCTTCTTGATGTCGTCGAGCTGCTTCTCCGTCAGCAAAGTCGGGGGGTGAGGCCTCCAGAGGAACTGATAGAAGTTTTCCTTCTTGGTCTTTTCCAGCAGCTTCCCCTGCAGCAAAACCCTAAACCCTAAACCCTAAACCCTAAACCCCGCCGCCGCAGCAGGCCCGGACCTGTTCTCCCCCGCAGCCGCGCAGCAACAACCCCTCAACAAACCCCAAAGGCTCGCAAGCCCCAACGCCGGCAAGCCCCAAACCCTCGCAAACCCCAAACCCTCGCAAACCCCAAACCCTCGCAAACCCTAAACCCTCGCAAACCCTAAACCCTCACCTGGAAAGTCCAGATGTTGAAGCCAGTGTTGTCTCCAAACCTGTAGGCCTGCGCCCCACTTACGAGGGGCATAACCACGCAAGTGGCCAAATATCTTCCGCAGTGGGACCAGCGGACTTCGTTGCACATGTAGTGTTCGTCTTGGTGCAGCACCTGCAGCGCAAGGGTTTAGGGTTTAGGGTTTAGGGTTTAGGGTTTAGGGTTTGCGGCGCCGCGCGGGCAGCGGCCCGCCGCCCGCAGGCCGCAGCAGACGCGCCGCGGGAACAGCGGCCCGTGCGAGGCGCCGCGGCCGACGCAACAGCAGCAACGCCTGCAGCGAGGGTTTAGGGTTTAGGGTTTAGGGTTTAGGGTTTGGGCCGCGGACCTCGACTTTGTCCTGGTCGTTCAAGTGGCAAAACATCACTGTCCCGTAAGTGCTCAAAGATGCCAAGACAAAATAAGATCCAAAAGGAGACCATTTTAAAAAGTTCATGTAGTTGGGAATGTCGAAAGAATGAGTCATTATCGTGTCTCTCTTGTTCGTCTCCACGTCTGAAGCGCCCAAACCCTAAACCCTAAACCCTAAACCCTAAACCCTAAACCCTAAACCCTCGGTGCAGCTCTCAGCCCTCGACCCAAAACCGCCACTCTTCTTGAGGGCTCGGTCAAGCCTAGTCGGTGTCTGCGCGTGAAGGCTACGCACAAGCCCCAAACCCCAGCTCCAAACCCTAAACCCTAAACCCTAAACCCTAAACCCTAAACCCTTACTGCCTTCAGCGGCATCGGCGACGCGGAAGAAGCGCAGGCTCTGGTTGGTTGTCCCTTCTTCTTGAACGACGAGCACGAACCGCTTGCCTGAAGACCCAGCGCCAAACCCTAAACCCTAAACCCTAAACCCTAAACCCTCCGAAAAAACCATCCGCCTGCTCTCCCGGAAACTCCCTGCAGCCCCCGACCCCATCAGGCTCTGCCCCACCCCTCGCACGCGGCGCCAGGGTTTCGGGCCCCCCTTGCTAGGGTTTAGGGTTTGGGCTAGGGTTTAGGGTTTGGGCTAGGGTTTAGGGTTTGGGGCGCACTGGGACCCTCCTCCCAGTGGAGCTGGACGGCTATGTCGTTGAGCTGGAGGTTGTCGACGGGAATGTCCTTTTCGCGCATGCGGAAAATCTCCAACTGACTAAATTCCTTTCTTCCTTTTTTTCCAGTCTTTTTAAACACCATTGTTCTCAAACACAAAAAGTCGCCATTGCCTTGCCAGTGCATGGCGGCGCCCTTGACGTTGTAGACGTTTTTGCTGGCCAGTTCCCGCCGGCTCGGAACCTCCACCAGGATCAGCCGCCCTGCGACAAACCCTAAACCCTAAACCCTAAACCCTAAACCCTAAACCCTAAACCTGCGCCGTCGCAGCAACGCGCGCCCGAGAGGGCGCGGGCTCCAAGCCCTGCCCACGCACGTCTAAACCCTAGGCAGTGGCCAACAGAGCAAACGCTAAACCCTCGCTCAAACCCTAAACCCTAGGCCACAATCCTGCGTGCTGGAAACAAACCCTAAACCCTCGGCAAAACACTAAACCCTTCTTCCACTCTAAAAAGGGATACTCAACTCGTTGGGAGGCCTTGAAACCCTCACACCCTCCCCATCAATCTGCCTCAAAAAAGCCCCTTTCCTCCCCCAAACCCTAAACCCTAAACCCTAAACCCTAAATGGTTGTTGTGACAGTTCATCAGGGGCGGCGTTAGGGAGGCGTCGCACCCGACACATATGCCTCGTTTGTCTCCCTCAACCCCTCAGTCTCTGTGCTCCCAAACCCTAAACCCTAAACCCTAATTGTGGCAATTTGGGTTTAAAGCATTCAGGCGCATCGCAGAGAGAAGGCTAAAAGCCTATGGGGGAGGTGATGGAGTCCACAGCTCCACAAGGGCCAAAGACGAAACCCAAACCCCAACAGACAAAATTAGGGTTTAGGGTTTAGGGTTTAGGGTTTCGGGCGCACCTGGAGTGTCGTCAGAACCCCTTATCCACAAAGAAACAATGTTGTCTCCTGGAGACCATTCAAACTTTTCTACGGGATACTTGAGGGCTGAGAAGTGGCCTTTTTCATCTCGCAGCAACTTCACGGGAGTTACGTCCTGCAACGCAAACCCTAAACCCTAAACCCTAAACCCTAAACCCTAGCCCTTGGCCCCAGCGCCTGCGCTGCCGGGCCCGCCGGCCGCAGGCCTGGAGATGATGGTGCTGGCGCTCGAAGCCCCTCGCGGCTCTCCACCACCCCAAACCCTAAACCCTAAACCCTAAACCCTAAACCCTAAACCCTAAACCCTCGGACCTCGTCGGCGGCCTGGTCCGGGAAGTTGTCCTTGGGGTCCATTGCGTAAATGCACAATTCTTTGTCTCCAATTTTCGCCAAGTACTTTTCATCATGAGAAAATAAAAAGTGAGGAAATTCAGTGCCTCTTGGAGTGGCTGCGGGCGTGGCGAACTGCCGCAGCATCTCACCTGCA